AGCTGGGGTAACTGGGTAGGCTTTCACGTCTTTCTAGATTTATGATATCTCTCCAGGTGACACACTGAGACTCCTGGGAGGTCACCTGAGGAGGAGCCAAAAAGCTTAACCTGGGCTGAAGCCATAGCAACAGCTGGTCGAGTGCTTGCCTAGCATGCATGCACCACCATATAGGCAGGGCATGGTGGTGAGCACCTGTAATCTCTTGCACTTGGGAGGCAGAGGCAAGAGGATCAGTGCTGTGGGATGTTCTGTATGGCAAATGTGTTGCTCTGATTGGTCAATAAATAAATCACTGATTGGCCAGTGGCCAGGCAGGAAGTATAGGCGGGACAAGGAGGAGAATAAAGCTGGGAAGTGGAAGGCTGAGTCAGAGAGACACTGCCAGCCACCACAATGACAAACAGCATGTGAAGATGCCGGTAAGCCACGAGCCATGTGGCAAGGTATAGATGAATGGAAATGGATTAATTTAAGCTGTAAGAACAGTTAGCAAGAAGCCTGCCATGGCCATACAGTTTGTAACCAATATAAGTCTCTGTGTTTACTTGGTTGGGTCTGAGCGGCTGTGGGACTGGCAGGTGAGAGAGATTTGTCCTGACTGTGGGCCAGGCAGGAAAACTCTAGCTACAATGGCGCCCAACGTGGGGCAAGAGTTTCCACCTAAAAACTGAGAAAAAAGATTCTAAAACGGAGCTAAAATCCGCTTCCTAATTGTCTCTCTCAAATGAGCAGCAGCTGCCGGTTTGAGCTTACTTGTGGGTTCCTGGCGTGTGCTCTCGACCTCCCAGGAAACTTCCACTACATGCTATACCAGGAGTTTGAGGCCAACCTGGGTTACAAGAAACCTGTCTTGTAAAAAACCAAAGAGGGGAGGAAATAGGTCAGAGGCTGATGGTATGTATATGTTCTCTTAGACCTGTCATCATGGCAGCCCACACACATGCAGCTCAGCCTGCGCTCTTCCCCATGCACCCTACCTGCTGCTGTCTGTCAGTGTGCATACTCTGTGACCCCCTCCCTGCACCTGTACCTCCAGATCGAACATCCAGAGTGCTGCCAAGTGGAAGGGGCTATGGAGCACTGTGTCTACCCCCCAAGCTCCAGCAGACACACAGTCCAGGAGCAGACAACCTTGCTTTGCATCCCAAGCCTGGGGCTGGCTTTTCTTTCCCTGATGTGTCAAGGGGCGCTCAGGGACAGGAAGGGGGTTTCGGCCAGCTTTTTCTACTCTTCCCTCATAGTGGTTCTTTCTCTTCCCAAATCCACTGCCTCTCCAACCAATTCAGGCCTCCCCTCCTCCTTGCCTCCTTGTGGATGGTAGGTGAGACTTCCCAGATCTTCCTCTCCTACTTCACCAGCTCTTAACCAGCCTTCAGAAACTCACCTCAATTCTTCCAGGATGTCTTTGTCCATATATATATATATATATATATATATATATATATATCACGTTCCTTATACATTTGTTTCTTTTCTTTTTTTTTTTTTTTTTTGGTTTTTCGAGACAGGGTCTCTCTGTGTAGCTTTGCGCCTCTCCTGGAACTCACTTGGTAGCCCAGGCTGGCCTCGAACTCACAGAGATCCACCTGGCTCTGCCTCCCGAGTGCTGGGATTAAAGGCGTGCGCCACCACCGCCCGGCTGTTTCTTTTCTTGACACCATACAAATATAGATAACGACAAAAGTCACGTAAGTGACGCATAGTGGGCACACCTGTAACCTCAAACACTCTAGAGGCAGAGGCAGGACTGGGATTTCAGGGCCAGCCTGGGCTAGGTACGGTGAGACTCATCTCTGCTTGGTTGTTTGTTTTTGGGTTTTTTTTTTTTTGGATTTTTTTTGTTTTTTGGGTTTTTTGTTGTTGTTGTTTTGTTTTTGAGACATGGTTTCTCTTATGTAGCCCTGCCTGTCCTGGAACTCACTCTGTAGACCAGGCTGGCCTTGAACTCGGAGATCCATCTGCCTCTGCCTCCCAAGTGCTGGAATTAAAGGCAAGTATCACATGGCACAGAAGTTTGTTTGTCTTTTTTAATTACGTGTATGTGTTTGTTGTCTGTGTGTGGTTATGTGAATGTGTGAATGCAGGTGTCTGAAGATGCCAGAATAGGGCACTGGATCCCTTACAGCTGGGGTTACAGGCAGTTGTGAGCCATGTGATAGTGGTGCTGGGGACCAAACCCCCGCTCTACCCCCTTCCCCACCCCCTATCTATGCAAGAGCAGTACATGCTCTTAACCACTGAACCATCTTTACAGGCCTGTGACTTGTCTTTAAAAGAAAAGAAAAAAAAAGTCACAAAACAAAGTCATACAAACAAAACACACATTCACCACACAGGATACACTGACCTCTCTGTCTCACAAACTGAATCATCTACAAAGTTGTGGCAAATCTCTGCCATGTTCCTCAACTGTGTATGTGCGCATACACGTGCACCAAACGGGGATTCACTGCCTACTCTTTCACAACAGAGGCACAAAGCCTCTTTCTACCACACCCACATGCATGCGCAACAGGTCACAAATGCCCAGCTCACACAGCACACACAGTTTCCTGTTCTTTCCTGCTCTGCACCTGCGCAGCAGGCGTGAGGAGAAAGTTTCTCTACTGCAAGTATAAGTGCCCACGCCTACCGGACCTTCATTCGACTTCTCTTTCCTTCGCCCCTCTCTCGAGTGCGCGCGCACGTGTACACACACACACACACACACACACACACACACACACACACACACACACACACACGAGTAACAATCCCCAAATATAGTCCTCTGTCTTTCCACATAAACACACAGGCATGCAGAATCCATCCCTTCCCCCTTTTCCCGTCTCCTCCTCTTCTCCCTCCCTCCCTTCTTGCACACACACACACACACACACACACACACACACACACACACACACACACACTCGCAGCTGCAGCGATCAGGGTCATACTCCAGTGCAGGCGCCAGGCAGGAGACAAAGGTCGCCAAGACTTCCAGAGCCCCAACTGGGCACAAGTGGACCTGTCGCCGGCTCCATCTGTCCCTAGAAGCGGGTCCTGGCGAGGTCTAGTCTAGGCATCCGGAGCTACAGGATTGGGCGCGCGCTCCTGGACCCGCCGGCAACCCAGACAGCCAGGGTCTCCTGCTCTCCAGCACGCCACGGGTTAAGAAGCCTAAGGGGGGCGGGGGAGTCCGGCCTACGCGCCTGATTGGCTGTTGCTCCCCGGGCCCGCAGCCCCCGCGCCTCGGTATTGGTTCGCGGAGGGCCCCGCCCCCTGGCCTGGGCGCCCGAGCAGCGCGCGCCGCCCCGGCAGCTAGCCGCGCCGTGCGAGCTGAGAGCGCATCGCATCGCCGAGCAGCCGAAGCCGGAGCCCCAGCGGGAGGCGCAGCCAGAGCCGGGTCGTTCGGAGCCCGCGAGCAATGGTGAGTACGCCCGCAGCCCGCCGGGGCACCGTGCAGCCCCGACGGTCCCAGCGGTAGCGCGGCGATGGCATCCTGGCCGGCTCGCGGGGGGCTGGGCGTCCCCCGCAGCTGCGGCCCGCGACCCGCTGTACTCAGGCGTGGAGCCGGGGGTCGTTCGGGCTGCGAGTACCTTGGTTCTGGGCTGCTAGGTCTGGCCTTGCGTGGAAGACTTAGGGTGGCGCGTTGGGTTTGGGGCGGAGGGACAGTTGATGAGATAGGTTTGGGATATGTGTAGGTCTCTGAGCTTGGTTTGGCGTGGAGACCTTGGGCAGCCAGGCCGGGTCGATTCAGAGATGTCAGGGTTCGGCTGGCCTTGAGCTCACATCCCTCGTAGTTCAAGTGGGTTTGGGGTTCGAGGACGCTCTGTACATCTTGGGAGACTGAATACTTTTCTCCTACTGCTTGCTGATCCTGCTGTGGCGCATGGGGTGGGGTGGCACAGAGAGGAGGGGACAGTCTGAGGTTCTGCTAGTTATCTGGTGTTCCCAGCATCTCCCAGTAATGAATCCTCAGAGGAGGGGCCAAGTGCTGACTCCTTTGGGCAAAAGCACCAGAGTAAAGGGGATCCTTGAGGGAGGGGATTTCGTTGGGGGCTTAAGCCTCAGGAGTGACATCCATCTAATCCAGTTGCTTTTGAGAGCTTCTGGGAGGTGAGTTGTCTCTGGCCCAGAGCCAAGGCCTCAGGTTGCCTTTCCAGGGCCTGTTATTGCCTCCATCACATGCCAGGTGTGCTTCTCTCCCTGTGGACCTCTGATTGCCTCCTCCAGAGCTGGCTTTTTGGCCTGTGCACTCGATCCAAGGCACCCTGTCTGGCCTGAGATCTGTCTGGGCTCTCTGCGGTTGGTCCCAGAGACTTGCCTACCTCTATGATGTCACTTCCAAGCCTGAGGGGTTCAGTGAGGAATGGAGGGGTACATAGAGCTGAAAAGGCTGCAGTGACAGCTCCAGGATCAGCCACCCAGCCCCTGTACCCCAGCTCCTGCCCCCTGCCCTCCCTCCCCCCACTGATAGGAACATATGTTCCCCTTAGATACTCCTTTCCTCTGTCCTCTGACTCTCCTCTCTTACCCACTGGCATCTTTCCCACGAGACATCACTTGTCCCTGTAGAGACTGATGACTAAATTTTGCCCCCAAGGTGGCCAGAGATCATCTTGGACCCGACTTACCTCCCCCATTAAGAATCTCCCAGGAATGTGCTGCTTGGATAGTTTCATGGCTGGGGAATGCATCACCTGTGGACCAGCTCTTGATTTAAAGTCTGAGGATGTGAGAGAGTAATAAAAGAGAGAAAGACTTTGAGGTTACACATCCTCTCTCTCTGTACCTCCCCTGACCTGAGCTGCTCACAAAGAGAACACTTTTCCCTCCTTACAAAGCACCAGAAAGTCTGGTGTGGTGGTACATGCCGCTGGTCCCAGTGTTTGGGAGACTGAGACAGGCAGATTGTAAGTTCCAGGGCAGCCTGGGCTCAAACAAACCAACTAACCATCCACTCCGCCTTGGTAACATTTTTTTAAATTTAATTTTATTTGTATGAATGCTTGGCTTGCATGTATATAAGAATAACACATGTGTGCCCGGTACATACTGAGGCCAGAAGAGAGTGTCGGAGCTCCAGTTCCAGGAGCAACAGTTATGAGCCACCATGTAGGTGCATGGAATGACCCTTGAGGGTCCTCTGCTGCTGTTGTCAGCTGGCTGGGCCATCTCCAACTAACACCTGAAAAGCTTCCCAGCCCATCAGAAAGACTGTAGACTTTGTCCCCAAACAGATTGGGGGTCTAATCCCAGCTCCTTCACATCCCTGCAGGGACTTTGGTCGGGCTGTATTATAAGCCCATTGTGCACGCTCATCAATGAGATGGGTGATGGTTCCTGTCTCCTGGGATGGTGTGGGGATCAGGCTGAGATAAACCCAAGTGAGTGTTTGGAATACCATTTACTTTCTTTTACAACCTTGAGCTCGAATTAGGAAGTTCTGCTAACCATCCAACCTATTTTCTGGTCTGGAAGAGCCATTCATATTTATCATGTTTAGGAGAAGATGACAGTGATATTTAAAGAGAATGCCCTGTTTCTTGTTTAACAGAGACTTACGGGATGCTTGCTCTGTGCTAGACCTTGTACAAGGGAAGAAAAAGTGACATAAACCATGTGTTGACGGCGCTTCTATCCATCCCTAAACATCCTCAGGCCAAGGGTCATGTCCTTCAGGGAGGTGGCTATGTCATGCCCAGCAAGTGTTCCATTCTGGCTGGAGAGATGGGAGAGTCATTAAGCCGATATAATCTGAATAGGAAAACATGTTCCAGTTGGGGGAACCTGTGTGATATTGGACCAGAAGTGTGAGGACACAGAATACTCAGGACAGGGCCAGAATAGGGCTGTTTGCCACTCAGGTATGTGGGAGCAGGTGAGAGGGGACAAGGCAGGTCTGGGAAATAGTAGGGACAGAGAGCAGAGGCCTTGACTGCTGCGGGCGGGGGGGGGGGGGAGCCCACTGTAGTCCGCTGACGCACAGTGTTGATGTACCATGAGTGGGTGGGGTGAGGACTGACGCCAGGCCTCCTTGGGTTCCCCTAAAGTTGGTACCTTTGCCATCATTCCCAAGAGGGGCTGAGATTCAGGGCTACTTCACTCTGAGTCTTAAATCCAGCATCCCACCCCTCCAGCAGAGCCCAGTTTTCCGCTGCCTCCCAGGTTCCTAATGGGGTTCCTTTGCCCTATACAGGCTGTTTCCTGTTGTTGGCGCTGGATCTCCCTGGTACTCCCAGCTCTCCACCCAGGTCCCTAACCTCTTGGCAGAGAATCAGCACGGTTCTTAATGGCCTCCTGTCGAAAGCGCCCCCACACCCTCAGCCCAAGCTGTGGGATGAGGACTCCCAAGAGGCTTTTTATATCTTCCTACCTCCAGATGTCCTCAAACCACCCAGCGGCAGGCACAGAGATAGGAAGGAGGTGGTCCAGGGGCACAGCTAGGCGGTATGGAGACGGCATGAGGCTGCTAGGTACTAGGAGGACTAACGAGGCAGAGGGTTTGAAGGGAAGGAGACAGCCTGGACTCCCACACTGTTCTGGTGGTATCCTGTGAACCAATCCTTCACATTCCACACTGGGGGAGGGCGACTGAGTTTGGACCACTATTGAATGGAGGGAGATCTTCACTGTACAGAGGTTGAGTTGAAGACAAGATCCAGAGCCCAAATTTGAATCCCGATGTCAAATCAGTTTGCTGTGTGACCTCAGGTCAGGCATCCTCCCTCTCTCTGCTTCCTTCCCTCTCATGAGGGGCAGATGTGCTCTGCTTTTGAGGATGTCATTGTGAGGGTACCGACATGGGAACATGCAGAAATTATTAAAAACACAAGGGACAGTGTTATTATTTGAAGATAAGAGGTGAGGAGTTCTGATTGTATGGTGGTGGCCACCTCGCCCCGGGCAGCGGGCCTGTCCTAGAAACTGGGTTACACTGGATTATTCATGTCCCTACACTTGTTCTTGGCCAAGTAGCCGAGCAGTGATGGTTACTCATGTTTCGTTGAATTGCCCCAGTTTTTGGTAAAGAAAGCTGCTGTTGCCTTCTGGGAAGGGATGATTGCAGTTTCTAAGATAGAATTACAGAGACTTCCATCCTGTCGGGAGTGGGGGGCTTGGAGAGCAGGCGGTGGCTACAAGGAGGGGGACCATCAGCTAATTGTTTTTGCATATCTGCTCTGTCACGTCCACTTGCAGTGACTGTGTGCCCCTGGCCGTTCCTTGTCAATTCACGCACCCACCAAGTCGGCCTGGGACAGCACAAGGCCCGGGGCTGTGGTCAATGTGGCTGGCTGAGATTGACATGTCTCTGCCACAGTCTGATAGGCAAGCCTATGGGCAGGAAATGACAAACACAGTTCCTGTTGCTATGGAGACGTGGGGGGATGGGGATGGGGAACCTGGCCTGGGGATCTGAAGAGGGTCCTTGAGACCATGACATTCTTCAGTCTTCAAGCTATGGCCTGAAGAATGAATGGAGCCCGGCTTCATGATGCAAGCCTATAACCCTGACCTTGAAGAAACAGAGGCAAGAGGATTGCCCAAAGTTTGAGACCAGCTGAGGGATGCATAGGGAAACTCAAAACTCAGTCTCCACCACCACAGAAGTGTGAGTGGGACCAGGAGGGGCTTCAGACCATGGGGAGCTGTGCATGCAAGGTGAGGCAGCTGGCCTCTGGGAAGGCGTTTGCTCATGAGGGGTGCCAAGGATGATGTCTGGCAGAGCAGGTGCACCTGGGGAGGGTCATGTGAGGGATTTGGGTCTTGATTCTAAGGACAGTAGGGAGCCACTCAGAAGTTTAGAGTGAGGGCTCCTGCCCACCCCCACTACCCCCAGGCCCTTACATGTTTTAATCTTCTCTTCAAACCCAGGGACAAGGCTTCTTAGGTCTGGGCTTATGAAAGCAGATGTCCGGAGTTCACTTTGGGAGCTGAGGACTTGAACTAGGTAGCAAAAGCCTTTGGCCCCTAACTGCCACTTCATTTAGCCTTCCTGAGAAAGCCCCTGGGGATGGGAACAGGACCACTGGGCAACAGGCAGAGGTACTGGGGGCTGCTGGGACTGGACGCTGGCCAGGCTGAAAGGCTGGTGGCCTGGTTCCTTGCACAGGATTGCCTTTGCTCACTATTCTCAGGTCCCACTGCTGAAGAGTGGCTGAGCTAGGTCTGGAACCCAATCCAGACCTCCCATCTCCCTGGCTCCTGTGGCAGTCACTCCCTGCCTGGCATTACCCAGGCCCCCTGACTCGAGGTGTCCTGGGATTTTGGACCACGTGCTCCTGTGTGTAGGGGGCACAGCCTCTGGCCTAGAAGAGGCTTCTCCAAGCCCACCTCCTGGCCTGCTCCTTTGCCTTCTTGGCTGGGATGCAAAGGCGGGTGTAGGCGGCAGCCAGGAGGACTCGGGTTACAATGTAAACACATCATGTCAATATTTACTTCTGCCTGGAGCCAGAGCCTCCCCCTCCCATCTGCTGCCCCTGCAGGTGCTCCAGGAGAACCAAAGCCAAGTGCAGAGACCCCAGTAAGATACTCTTCCTTCCTAGGCCTCAGTTTCCCCATCTGCCAAATGACATGGCTGGAACAGTCAATGACAATTTTTAGGCACCCCCTGTAGAACAGTAAGCATAGTGAGCCTAGCTTTGTGTTCCTGGTTTGTACCTAGCCTTCCCATTTCCCTGTCAGGGGATGGGGGGCATGTTTCATATGACCCTTGAGCTCTGGCCTTGTGCCCTGAGGAGGGGGTCCCACAGCCCCTGTTTTGGATGGTCAGCGAGGAGAGCACGCTCAGCAGAGCTGGCACAGGAAGAGACAGGAGAAATGGCCGTGGAAGCCCTTGTTATTCCAAAGAAATGTTTTATGATTCTCTGAATCCAGACGCTGGCTTGCGTCACTTGGGAACTGCAGCCAAGGGTGGGGACTGTAACCTCAAGGCCTCATGGTGCTCTGAGGTCAGGAGCTGGGCTGGGGGAGTCCTGGGCTTGACTAGGACCCCCCAGTCAGACGGTGGAGCTCCTGATGAATGGGCTGAGGTCCAAGACTGGAACGACCACAATGACGTGTGGTGGGAAGAGGGGTGCAGAGGGTTGAGGCAGCTCATGGAGAGGGAGGAAGGACGCATTTCCTAAGCAGTTATTTTGCAGAGTGAGTCTATTGAGCATGTGAGTAGTCCAGTCCCCTCTGCCCCAGAAGAGGGACCGTAGGTGGCGCTGGCAGGCTTAAGAGTGAACAGCCTGTGAAGGCAGGGCAGGGCAGGGCAAAACAGAGTCCTGGGGATTCACTGAGTCTCAGGAGTCGGTCTTGGAGACCAGGAAACCCAGGATCTAATCTGGTTCTATCACTTTTTAAAAAACTACTTAGTTAATTAATTGAGATCTGGTCTTACGTAGCCCAGGCTGGCCTGGATCATTCTGTGTAGCTGAAGTGGGGGCCTTGAACCTCTGTTTCTCCTACTTCTGCCTCCTGGGTGCTGGGGTTACAGGTATTATCACACCAGGTTTACACAGTGATGGGGATTGAACTCAGGACCTCATGCATGCTAGGCAAGCACTCTCCTCATTGAGCTATGCCTCCATCCCTTTTCGTTGTGTCACTTTTTGCTCTATGCCTTCTCCCTGAGCTTGCTTTCCTCTCTAGTGTGGAACTGTTGGAACTTTTTTGTACAGTAGTTGTAAGAGTTAGAGTTAGAACAGATCCTGTTTCAGGAGCCCCGCTCAGTGTTGGGGAGTCCAGGGGTTCCACAAAGTCCAGCTCAGTGTTGGGGAGTCCAGGGATTCCACAAAGCCTCCTCTCAGTGTTGGGGAGTTCAGGGGTTCCACAAAGCCCAGCTCAGTGTTGGGGAGTCCAGGGGTTCCACAGAGCTCAACTGCTGTCACTGTCACTGCCCAATAGTGATAAGATGATACCGGTGACAGAGATCATGGACTCCCATAAACATAGGCAACATCCCCAGGGCACACACACATCCTACCCAGCCTGGTTTTGCCAGAGTGTTCCTCTGCATAACATTTGGACCAAGATGGATGCCATTCTCCAGCTCCCATAGGCTCATCACAGGCGGGCTGTCCCAGGTGTGCTGGCTGTCCTTTCTGTCGCCTGGTTTGAACTTTATCAGTGTCAACTCTTACAAGCTCCTCGGGGCCTGGTTCCCATCAGCTTTGGTCACTACTGAGTGCCTCCGAGGGACTTTGCTCCTGGTGCCTGTTCCAGAATCTGCTCTTTGTTAAGCTGAGTTGTGTCATGTTGAGTAGATAAACTTTTAAATATCTGTGACTGACATTTAGGTTGCTCTCAGTTTGGACCCAGTGTGACATTCTTGTTCATGTCCATACGTGTCTGACTTATGTGGCTGCCACACCATCCTCTGACGTAGATGTTCCACTTCAGAGCATACCGTTCCCCTCCCTGTCACCAGCCCGGTGCTTGGCCTAGAACATGCTTCCAGGGCCTGTTTGTTTCAGCCCCGGCTCCTCCTCGGTAGCCCTGCCCCTGCCCTTGGGGCCTGGGAAACCCTGGATTTGCTGCATTCTGCCAGCCCTGGATTCCACCGCACCTGGTGTTCTTCAGGTTAGAGAAGGGGTTCTGGCCCTGGAGGGGACCCCTCACCCTCGAGTCTGTCTTGCCACTGATTGCCTATATGACTTAGGCTCCTAGCTTCCCCTCCCCCAGTCTGAGGTCCTCCCCCGCTCTGAGAAGCATCATGTGGATAGAAGGTCCCCATCACTGGCTTCTGGTGGTCTCCCTATTTGGGGACCACTTGCTCCCGTCAGTAGGGCCTCCAGGGTTGAACCAAGATAATCTCTTAGCCCTGACTACCCTGTACCTCTCTCGTCCTCTTCATGATAGCCTCTTTCTAAGTCTGCCCCACCCCAGCAGGTTTAGAAGAGACAGTCTTGGCATCAGGCCAGGCTGGGTGTGTGCTCTTAGCACTCCCAGGCTCTGGCCTTGGGCACTTCACCCCATCTTCACCTACAGAGTCATAAAAGCCAAATGAGGTCCCAACTCATCCAAAGGACAAAAGCTCTGTGGTCATCAAATCCCAGCCTGCAAGGAGCTCAGGTCCAGTGGAGAAAAGTCCCGACACCTCGTGCAGACCCACCTGCCAGAGACCTCATTTCAGAGAGAAGGAAGACAGCAAAGCAGGGTGGCATGGGGAAATGGCTGTGATGTGGTGGCTCTAGTTGGCGGCCAGAGCAGAAGGCTGGGAAGAGGGCAACGGAGTAAAGATGTGGAGGAGGACTTTGGGGCAGAAGGAACAGGAGGTGCACAGAGCCAAAGGACTTGGCATGTTAAGGTGGAAGATGGCCGGCGTGGAGGAGCAGAGGCCTCGGGAAGGTATAGAAGGAGGTAGACAGGAAGGGGGCTAGTCGTGAGAGCCTTATCTGGAGGGGAAGTGAAGAATCGGCATTTCATCCCAAGAGCGATGGCAAGTCCCTGGAGGTCTTCAGTGCAGTGACTCCTTTGGGTTTATTTCCGAAAGGCCCTGGCTGTTATGTGCGAGATCGACCGAAGGAGGCAGGAGCGAGGCAGAGAGGCTGTGTCCAGCAGAGATGCGCCCAGGCCTAAGGGCGTGGCTGTGCTTCTGTCTCCAGAGGCTAGGTTTTAGGTCCTTTAGGAACGGAGGGGGTAGAGGATGGTCATGCAAAATGCTTCTAGACCACTGTTCCTGGTAGGAAGGCTTGGTGGGCTGAACTTGTCATCACCAGCTAGACGGACCCATCTTAAACCTACACTTGAACTCAGCCTTGCCATTCTCCCAAGTGACCCAGTTCTCACCACCTGGCTCCCAGAAACCCAGAGGGCCTGAGCCTGCTTCCCCTGTCTTTACATTTCCTGCCTACTGAGAAATGAGGGCAGGAGCAGCCGTGGCTGCAGGGACACCCAGCCCTGTGCCCTCGGCTATTGCCCTATTCTGGGCATTCCTGTGGCTTTGTGGTTCCTGGGTGGCACTTCTTTTTCCTCGAGTGTCTAGGTGGTCAGTGGACTTCTTCCTGAACTTCCAGGAACAGTGGGCAGGGTGGGGGAGACAGAAGAGGCGAGGAGAGTTCACAGAATTCTCTGGAAATGGGACGTAGGCGTCCTCTAGACGTACTTCCTCTTGGGGAGACAAAGACTAGAAAGAGGGCTGGGGAAACAGCTCAGTAGATAAGAATGCTTGCTGCTCAAGGCATGAGGACCTGAATTCAGTCTCCAATACCACGTAAGAAGAGGGGTGTGGCCCAACACTCATCTGTAACCCCAGGGCTGTGAGGGACAGAGACAAGAGGCTCACAGGGCTTACTGGCCGCGAGCCTAGTTCCAGATGCAGTGAAAGATCCTGCCTCAAGGGAACAAGGTGGATCACGATAGAGCAGGACACCTGATGTCTTCCTTTGATCTCCACACATACATGGGAGGCTATACCTACATACACATATGTGTACACATACCACATACACGTACACCGTCAATATCATACTTACACGCATCAAAAAATAAAAACAAAACAGAACAGAACAGGCCCAGAAAGGACAAGAATATTTCCCAGGCCACACAGCAAATTCAGTATTGTGTCTTAGAACCCGATCCAGGGTCCTGATCCTGTGTTCTTTCTGTTCAGAATGTGGCTCCAACAGGCATGGGTTCTGGTCTCACCTGTCACTGAGTCCCAGCTGGGTCCTTTGGTGAACGACCATCTCTGAGCCTTGGTTTTCTCTAATGTAGGATGGTTAACACCTTCCACTGTGAAGCATGGTTGAGGGCAGATGTCAAGTTCTCAGGCCTGTAGGCAGTGCACAGGACAAGTCTTTAGTAATGGGGACTATTACTGTTGTGATGGTTCTGACCTAAGTAGTGTGTGTGTGTGTGTGTGTGTGTGTGTGTGTGTGTGTGTGTGTGTGTGCATGTGCGCACTTGTGGACACCCGGAGACCAGAGGACAGCCTTGGGTGCTGTACCTCAATCACTCTCTACCCCCCACTCCTTTTTTGTTTGTTTTTTTTGAGAAAGAATCACTCACTGGCCTGGAATTTGATGAGTCAGCTAGGTTGTCTGGCCAGCCAGTCCTAGAGTTCTGCCTGTCTCTGCCTTCCCAGCTCTGGGATTACATGTGTGCACCACCATGCCCAGTTTTTCTTTCTTTAATTAAAGTTCTATGTGTCTGTCTGTCTGCCTGCCTGCCTGACGGCCTGATGGCCTGACGGCCTGACGGCCTGCCTGCATGAGTTTATGTACACAACGTGCATATCGATGCCCACAGAGGTCGGAGGACGTAGAGTTACAAGTGGTCGTGAGCTGCCTGATTGGGGGTGCCAGGAACCGAACCCCAGTCCTCTGCAAGAGCAGCAAGTCATGGCTCCAGCAACCCCAGCCACAGCCCTTCTTATGCGGGCTAGAATTCAGGACTTCTTGCTTGTAAGGCGAACTCTTTACCCACCGAAGCATCTCCCAAGCCCCTGCCCTCCGTCTTTGAAGAGCTGGAAGTGGCTGTCCTTGTCCCCATGCTGCTGTCCAGGCCTGAGGGATGCAGGTAGATGGGAGGTGAGAAGATCCTTGTTGGGGGCCTGTCTGATTTTGCTTCTCCGTTTTAATTGAGAGACCCCGATGCAGGCCCATAGTTTTCACCATCACCTCAACATACACAGACAGAAAGACAGAGAAAGAAAGAGACAGACGGACACACACACACACACACACACACACCCTCTCACAGGTGCACATACATAGACAAACAAGGCTGAGGTGGCTGGAGCTGTGTCTCAGTGGCAAGCAGGTAGTCACTGAGGGTCATGCCAGAGTGAAAACAGTGGCTTGCCACATCCTGCATTGCACCCCTTAGTGGCAGTGTGGCCTAGTGGTCGCGAGCAGGGGCCATGCATTGATGGGAACTTTAACCCCATACATGCCACTGATGTGCGAAGGACTCGCTTCAGGTGAGTTTTCCTCTCCGAGACTCATCCTTCCAGTCCCTGAGGTAGCAACTGCAGCTCCATCCCTCAGTGAGATCCGCCTGCCTCTGCCTCCTGAGTGCTGGGATTGAAGGCGTGCGCCACCACCGCTGCCCAGCTTAAATTTTTCTCTAGATTTATTTACTTTATTCTTTGTGTATGAGTGTTTTGCCTGCATGGATGCATGTACACCACATGGGTGCCTGCTGCTTGTGGAAGTCAGAAGAGGGCATCAGATTCCCTTGGAGCTGGAGTTATGGATGGTTGTGAACCACCGAGTAGGTTCTGGGAACTGCACCCGCATTCTCTGCAAGAGTAGCAAGTGCTGAGCTATCTCTCTAGTCTCAGGACCTGGATTTGAACTTGGGTGTTTGGGTTACAGAGTCCAAGTGCTTTATGTGTGTCAGGTCTGTGTGTGTGCCTGTGTGTGGAGGGCAGAAGACAATGTGTGGGAATCTGTTTACTTCTTCTACCATGTGGACCCTGGGGATTGAACTCAGGTTGTTATGCTTGGTAGCAAGTGATTTTACTGGCCGAGCCATCTCGTGGTCTCCTGAGCCCAAGTCCTTAAGCACCATGTTATCCATTGCTCTTCTGCAGTTTACCCCCCCACACCCATCCCCCCCCTAGTAATTCTGTCAGGACAGCTGTGTGGACTCTGCTTCACCTGCCATGGGAAGAAAGTCCTAGCAGGTCTCCTGAAATTTCCTTTCAGCACATGATGAGCAGATTCAGACCCCCGGGAAAAGGAATTGGAAAGTTCGAACCCTAGCAAATCCAGGAGCTGCACCGGAGGGAGGAACGGGGATGGGGAAAGATGCATTTAGAAAGTGGGGGGGGGACTTAGAAGGCAGAACTAACATCTGCTGAGTGCCAGGCGTGGGGTTCTCCAGGAAGTGAGAGCCCTGTGGGAGCGCTAGACACGCCAGCAGGGAAGTTGTTGGATGGTATTGTGTGGGTGTGTGGGCAACTTTGAAGGACCAGAGGAACGGGTAACTTAACTGGCCCAGGGATCTGGTGTTTGAGCTGGCTCCAGAAGTCTACCAGTTAGGCCGAGCCAGGAGTGGCAAAGCCAGAACCTGGACAGCCTGGCTCCAGAGTCGTGTTCTCACCCGTGCGGCATGCTCAGCTAGATGGGACTTGTGTCCTGGTCTCTCCACAGAGCCTTGGGCAGCTCACCGGTTGCTTTCTCTTTTAGCTTCTGCCTCTGTCCTTCGTAAACTCCTGCCCCTCTGCCAGGGAGAGTCTCTGCCTTTGTAGATACCCAGGACTTGGGGTGTCCCCGTGCTTTTAAGCTAGTAGGAACAACCTGGGATGTGAGGGCCTCTACACCTTTCTGGTGGGCAGTGTTGTCAGCCTGCACCAGCCCTGCCCCCATCCCCCCCAACCCCCTGGGATTTCAGGACCATGGGAGCAGACTGTATGGGTATCTCAGGTTCTCGGGTGTGTGAGAGGACCAGTAAGAGGGATACTGGCTACCAGGGCATCTTTACTTTCTTTCCAGAGATCCTGACTCATTAGGGTTTGAGTGGGGTTCAGAAGCCTGCATTTCCAGCAGACTCCCTGACTCTCACCTTGGAAGGTGACAGGTCTCCCTTGGGAAGCTCCAATTGGTTACACAAGCTGCTCGTGGTCTATCACTGTCCCCCGGTGTTCTATTTCGTCATTTCCATCATCAGAATATCACTCAGTTGGGGGAAAGGATGTAGAGAATTTAGGGAATCTTGAGAGAGGTTTCTAACAGTCGTGAAGACCTTGGGAATCTTCAGTCAGCTGGGGAAATGGTAGCTCAGAGTTTGGGCAGTTTTCCCAAAGCCAGCTAGAGTGCTGTAATACTTAATCCCGACTGTCGGCTTAATGAGATGCAGAATCATCTAGCAGGCAAAACCCAGCATGTCCGTCAGAGAGTTTCTACATTGGGTTAATTGAGGTGAGAAGAGCTAACCTGAATGTGGACAGCGCCATCCCATGGCCTGGAGGCCCCAGACCGAGTTAAAAAGAGAAAGCAAGCTGAGCACGTCTTCCTGACCCTGGATACAGCGTGACTAGCTGCCACTTGCCCTGACTCTTGCCTTCCTGCTGGGTGTGTGTGTGTGTGCACACACACGAGTGCGTGTGCACATACGGGCAGATCCCACAGAAGCCAGAGATGTTGACTCACCCTGGCGCTGGAGTTCCAGGTGGTTGTCTGCTGCCTGATGTGAGTGCTGGGAACTGAACTCGGGTCCTCGCAAGAGCAGTGCATGTTCTTACCCACTGAGCCATCTGAGCTCCAGTATCCTGCCTTAAACTGTAAGCCCCTCTTCAGTTGCTTTTGGTCCAGCATTTGATTGCATCATCAAGAAATGTACCTAATTCAGTGGCTGAGCGGAGAGTAAACCTGTTTCCCTGAGCTGCCAAGGCTACCCAGCTCCCTATTGCCTCCTGCACAGAGTCTGGAAGACACAGACTCCACTCTGCCAACCCCGGCTATAGCAGAGTGTAGGGTGACAGTGAAGGACCGGCTAGATTGCTCAGCGGGTAAAGGCGCTTGCCGCCAAACCTGACAGACAGTGTGAGTTCTGTCCCGGGGGGTGTCCGACCTCCACACATGCACACAAGCACATCCACAGAAATAGGTAAATAACAGTGATGGTGCCGGCCAGTATGTGCTAACCACGGGAGGGCTGTCTAATAAAGAGCGGTGTGTACTGGCAGCATCGTGCCTGAGGAGCCATCCTACCCCCAGGCAGAAAGGTTGTTTCCTGATGGGAGACACCTGTTTGGAGAAGTTAGAAGGGTGAGTTAAACGTTAACAAGAGATGGCTCACATAGGCTCTTGGCCAAAAGAATATTTGCATGTGTAAAAGCCCTGAGGTAAGTGACCTATATAGTATTGTTCCGTGGAGCTGGAATCAATAGTAAGGGTGAGAGTGACCTAAGGTGAGGCCAAGAGGTGGCCAGGGGTTGGTCCCTGTAAAGCCATATAAGCCAGGTGAGAGCTTTGAACTTAACCCCCAGAGCAATGAACGCAGAGCCTTGTATACATTCAAGTCAAATTATATTTCTTCAACACCAAAGGTCGTATTTAAGCCCTGAGAGCGAACATTGGCAGAGCGGAGGCTTCCCTTGAATTGGAAGGATTGCCAGCTGGGCAGTGACAAGATCTCTCTTGCCTTCTGTCCTGCTCATTCTGGCCCATGGGCAGAGATGGCTTGGGGGAGGGGTCATGCCTGGGATTGGCAAGGTGGTGGAGGGGAGGACAGATATGGGGGGGATGGAGTTGACAGGGAATAGCATTGTGCTTGATGGAGGCAGGGTGAGATCCAGCCCATTGCTCTGACAGGTCACAGTCCGGAGCCGAGAAGGGTTGTGTGAGTGGCTGGTGTCACAGCCGAAGCAGCAGAGCCCAGATGCTGGGTGGAAGACAGCCTCCCCTGCCCAGGCCTTCCAGCCAAACCCTGACTGGGATCCACATTGCTGGCAGCTGCTTTGCTGGAGTCCTCTTCCAGGCCTCTGGTGGCTCCCCGCCACTCCCCCCATCCCTGCAGCGCCTGGGACTTCAAGGCAGGGAATGCGAGTGAAGACAGAGGTTTTGTCTTTGAAGCAGCCAGTGGGGGAGGGGCAGCAATCTGACCTCCAGATTCTTTCCTGTGACCTCTCTGACCCTGGAGAGACCCAGGCCCTTGGGACCTGGGAGGTCCACAAGAAGTGGGGATGGCCACTAGCTCCACAGTGTGCAAATAGCCCTTCCCTGGGGGATGGGAAGGGGGTCCCAGGGGTCTGCCATGATGCCTCTGCCACAGAAAGGAGCTGCAGGGCCAGAGTCTGGGCTTATGGCGTCTCCTCAGAAGCCAAGACAGCCCCTCATCTGACTCTCCAGGGTGGGAAGACCCTGGTAACCACTTCTCTGTTCCCGCCTTCTTCCCTGGTTGGGCCTCTTTGGCCACTGTTATCTCTGAGGACTTAGTTACCAGAATGTTCAACTGGGAAGCTGCCTCCACCTCCTTCCTTTGGGACATTCACTCCTTCCTGGGAGCCACAGTTGGGAATCCCCTGCATCAGCTCTCTCTGGGGTTCCCCCTTCCTTCTCACCAGGTCCTGAGGCTGCTGTCTCTCTGTCACTGGGATTGTCCCAGTCCCTGGACCCAGTTCCCGTGCTCTGGGAACCAGCTTCCCTTCTTGCTTAGAGACCAGGACCCCTCACCTCCCTTCCCTCAACCTCCCAGGGTCCTGTATTCTGACATCTGCCTAATGCTTAGTAGGTGCTCAGAACATGTAACCCCCCATCTCTCTTCTGTTCCTCTCCCCCACGACCCTCAGCCTCTCCCACGTGAGTATTTCTGCTCGGGGAGCTATGCATGGCAACTTGATCGATCCAGAAGTAGCTACTGTTGGCTGAGGACGTGGGGTGGAAGAAAATGAGGCAGGCTGAGGAACAGGAGGAAGGCGAAGGCTATAGCTTAGTGCCCTCTAGCTTCAGGTCCCCATCCCCTGTGGGCCAGTGGGGAGGCTCCGTTCGGGGAATCATTGCATCAGAGCAAAGGATATCAAGTTTGCAAAGAGGGTGGATAGTGACAGATCCCTGATGGCTCCTGAAGCCAGGGTGTCCTTAAACCTCACCTGGCACCTGAGGACAGCAGCCAGGACCCTTAATGCCACTTATTCTTACTTCTTACTGCCCCCCCACCCCCACCCCCTGCCGCCTTGTTCCCAGTCTGCTCCAGGGAGCAGAGATGGAACCATGATTTATTGAGAATTAACACTGAGCCAAGCCCCAAGCTAAGTGGCAAATACATTGGCTTGTTTCATACACAGTCAGCCCAAAAGAGATAGGTCCTAACCTCCCCACCCCACCCCCCCAAAAAAAATAAAAAAGGTCTTGCTATAATGCTTGGGATGGTCCTGAACTCCTGAGCTCAAGTAATCCTGCCCCAGCCTCCTGAGTAACTGGGACTCTTTGGCTTGTGTTCTGTTTTTACAAGGGGAAACTGAGGCCCGGAGAAGTGAGGGGACATGCCCAAGTCCCAAGGCCGAGAGGTGTCAGGGTTCTCAATGAGTGCTTTGACAACCCTGAGGAGCATCCATCTTCCAGGCCACTGGTGTTTTGCTTGGGTCAGGAAGGCCACTGCTGGGAGGTCAGTGGGAGGAGGAGAAGGCTGCTGGGAGCTGTGGAGGAGTGCAGGTGGGTGTACGCCAGTTCAGAGCTGAAGGAGGAGGTAGCCCAGACCTGTGCTAGGGCATCCCGGTGACAGGAACTTCCCAGAGGATACAGTGTATGCCCTGGCTCCATACATTCAGGAAGGGGCGAAGGGAGGGCAGGAGCCCCTGGCGGGGCTGTGCCATGTGCAGGTGGACAGTCCTGGGGCTAACTCCTACTCACATGGTCCCCAGGGAGATATGGCTAAGGGTTCAGTGTTAGCTAATGACACACGCACAGAATTGCCTCTGGCAGTCCATCGCTTTTTTTTCCCCAAGATTTATTTATTTTACTATTTTGTGTGAGTGTTTTGCCTACATACATATTTATGTATACCATGTGTGCCTGGTGCCCACAGAGGTCAGAAAAGGACATCAGATCCCCTGGGACTAGAGTTACAGATGGTTGTGAGCAGCCATGTAGGTGCTAGGAATTGAACCCAGGTCCACGCAAAAACAACCAGTGCTCTTAACCACTGAACCAATTCTACAGCTCCCTGTCTACTGCTTTTTAAAGGACTTTAAAAATTATTTTATTTGGGGCTAGAGAGATGGCTCAGCGGTTAAAAGCACTGACTGCTCTTCCACGGGATCCAGGTTCAATTCCCAGCGCCCACATGGCAGCTCACGACTGTCTGTAACTCCAGTTCCAGGGGATCTGGCACCCTCACACAAAAATGGAGGCAAAACACCAATGAGCATATAATAATAATAATAATAATAATAATAATAATAATAATAATAATAATAATAATAAAGTTTTAAAAATATTTTATTTATCATTTGTGTGTGGAAGGGCACATGTGGAGGTCAGGTGACTGCTTTGTGGAATCAGTTCTCTTTTTCCATCTTTACGTGGGTTCCGGGGATTGAACTCAGGTCGTCAGGCTTGCATAGCCAGCGCCTTTACCCGCGGAGCCGTTAGCTGCCCATAATGTGCAGTTTTAGGAGGAAAGCAGAATCCCAAACACAACACACTTGCACATCTCTCCTGAGATCTTGGGCCCTCCACCAAGGCGGGCTCTTCTCTCTTTGGTGCCTCTCGTCTGTCATGCTGTCTCTAGCTGTCTGTGAGTCAGCCACAGAACTCACTCAGGAAAGTCCTGAGGAGTTTTTCTTCTCAGTCAGTTCTAATTGAGCAGTGTGGGCAACACCCAGTGACACATGGGGAATTGGGTAAGGAGAGGCGAGGCAGCACCCTCTCTCTGCTTGCCTGTACCTTCCCTCCGACTTCCCAGGGTCCAGAGCCATCTCAGCCCCCGCTGGGTGGAAGATGGATTTCGTGACCCGGAGGCTCCCTAGCCTGACTTGCTCTGCCTCAGCCCTCCAAGGAAAATGAGTCATTTTTCTAACGAGGAGATGTTTCCCTTTATGTGGGAGGAGGGAGGGGAAAGGGTAGGGTAGGGACAGTCCCCTTTGGTCCCTTCAACTCAGTTCTCAGCTCCTGAGGAGCAGACACTTCAGCCACATTCCAGAGGACACTAGGACCACTGCTGCATGGAGCAGCCAGAACTGTTTGCGGCAGTGGCTACCAGAACTGGGTTGGGTTGAGTAGATAGGGGGTTCCTCTTGTTCCCCCGTGGATGATGCCTGCCTTGTGGCCTGGCTGTAACGGTATAGATCCTTTCCCTTCCTTCTGCCCACCTAAGGATTTAGGATGCGGCATACAGATCCATCCCACTCAAATCCTCGTCAACACGAATGAGCT